AAAGATACCAAATATCTTTTGGAACTTTAAGTAAGTTTAAAATTTTATTTATTTATTTTACTTTAATAATATTAATAAAATTTAAAGGGCATTAGTTTATGGCGACCCCGTGATCGACCAATCATAATCGGTCATGTAACTTACGAATTGCATAACTGCTTTATTCTAAGTTTTTTTTTTTTTTAAAAAAAAAACCACCCATTATGCAATAAACATTGTTGCGTAACAAATCCACCTGCTTTATTTATTATTAAAAAAAAAAACTTAGTTACGCAACAAATGTCATTGCATAACAAAGTTACAAAAAACGAGTTACAACCTGCCACCCATCTGCTATATTTATTCAAAAAATCCCACCCATCCACCTACTATTCAAAGATAATACTGATATGACAACTACACATCGGAAGGTTTTAGCGAAAGGTTCATAGAAGTTTTAGCGAAGAATCCAAAGAAAGTTCTAACAAAGAGTTCAATAAACAATCAAACGAACCTTCTAACAAAAAGTTTCAACAAATACTCTAACGAAACTTCTAACTTTGGCTCCAGCGACGATTTCAGCTACGACTCCAGCGACGACTCCAGCAACGATTTCAGCAATGACTCCAGCAACAACAGCTTCAAAATTACAATTCTGGTAATAACGAATTACACCTAAATAGAAGAATAAAAAGAATGTTAGTTCAGGTAAGAGGAAAATAAAACAAGAAAAAAAAAAAAAAAGCAAAAGGTAAGGATGATAAAAAAAAAAAAAAAGATGAAATGAAAAAAACAAAATGAAGTAGAATGAAAAAAAAAAAGGAAAGTGAAAAGAAAAGCGATAAGACGAATTAAAAAAAGGACGAAAATAAAGGCTAAAAAAAAGAATAAAAAGACAAAAAAAAAGGAAAGACAAAATAAACAAGAAAAACGAAAGAAATAAAAGAAAACGAAAAAAAAAAAAGATGATGAAAGGAAAAAGAAAGACAAAAGAAAAAAGAAGACAAAAGAAAAAAAGAAGACAAAAAAAAAAGAAGACAAAAAAAGAAAGACGAAAAAATAGAAGATGAAAAAAAAATGGAAGACGAAAGAAGTCGAAGGACAAAGAAAAAAAGATGACGAAAGTAAAAAAACGAGAGAAATAAGAAACGAAAATAAGAGACGAAAGAAATGAGAATAAAAAACGAAGATAAGATGAAAGAAATGAGAAAAAATAAAAAGAGAAAAGGCGAATAAATAGAAAAAATGAAAGAAAAGAAAAAAAGAAGACATAAGAAAAAAGAAAGTCGAAGAAAAAGAAAGACAAGAAAAAAAAAGATGCCGAAAAAAATAAAAATAAGGGAGGTAAGAAACGCAAGTATAAGATGAAAGTAATGAGTAAAAAACGAAGGTGAGACGAAAAAAATAAGAAAAAAAAATAAAAAAGAGGAAAGGCGAAGAAATAGAAAAAACGAAAAAAAAGAAAGACAAAAACAAAAAGAATAAGTAGAGGAAAGCGAAAGAACAAAAAAAAAAGAGAAAGTAAAGATCAAAAAAACAAAAAAAAATAGAAGAAAAAACGACAGAAAAATAAGAAAGAAGTAAAAAATAAAACAAAAAATAAAACAAAAAACAAAAAAAAAGAAAAAAAAATAAATAAAAGAAAAATAAAGCGAAAGAAAAATTAAAAACAAAAAAAAAAAATCAAAAGCAAAAAAAAAGTGAAAAGCAAAAAAAAAAAAACATAAATAATGTTTATATATGATCGCTAATCTCAAAAGTGATTAGTCAATCATATTAGGGTTGCTATAGCGACGGGTTGCTGTTTATAATTTTCCTAATTTAAATATATTCTTTTTTTTTTTTTTTTTTAAGGTGTCCTTTGGGACCAAGCTTTATTGATATTTAACTATTGACTACGTGGGTCTTACATTTAGTATTACAACAAAAGTACAACTAGCCACACATACAACTTTTGGTTGCCTATTTAAGTAGTCCACCCAAAGGTTCTATACTAGATGCCATACCTATAATCCAACTAGGGGATTATCTATTTAAACTCTCTGATCGTATATACCCACCAATTATTCTAAGCTAGGTACCTTTATACCGAAGTGCTCCCACTCACTTATCTGAACTTGATTACCCTGTTGGTTTCTTAGAGTTCCTACAGGTAGGCGTAGTGGCTACTCCCCTAATTCTTCTATATCCCACATATTTCCAAATTAGGTTCAGAGAACCTGTCTGCTATGGTCAAAACCAATACTAGTGGTTAGGGCTAACTATTAAACCGCACAATTTCTGGTTTCCCTGCCCTTACAAGGTTCGTTCCAATCCTGATACCTACATCTATCTTCCTTCCGGTCCTTGTACCAATTCTTCTAAACTTCCAAACCAGTTAGCCCAGATAGGTTGGTATACCTAGACTTTAAGTGTCTGATGGTTTCCTTCCTTTGGTTTCTAATTCTGCAGTATAGGACCTTTTTCTCCAGTGCAACTCTGGCGGCCAGGTTGGTGAACCCTTCTTGCCTCAAGGTTATTCATCCAGTTCTTCAGTCTCTGGTTTCTGGGCTTCTGGCTTCTGCAATATCGTCAAAGATCTTCACTACCTCTTTGCTTAGGTCTTTCCAAATGGGTTTTAATTATTTTAGTTCCTTGGCTTTGTCTGTGTGATGTCACACAACTTTGCCCAAAAGCTCCTATTCAAGATAGTAGTACCAAGGTTATAGATAGTACACCCAACCGATTATCGAATAAATATTACCGAAACAAATCTTATTTTTCAAAATCGTCACCAGTGGGATTTGAACTTTAGACCTGCTATTTGGAGGGGTGACAACTTACCAACTTCACTAAGTCGCTATACTTTTAAATATATTCAAAATAATATAATAATTATTAAAGTAATAATCTGAATTTAAATTTTAATTTTACTTTATTTTAATAATTCAAATAAATGCGAATTAATGTAATTATATTCAAAATAATTAAAATTAATCCAAATATAAATTTAATTTTGCGAATTATATTCAATATTAATTACAGTAATTCACAACAATTCATATATATTTAAATTATTTCAATATTTATAGATTGATAATTATACGATATATAATTAAATTTATATTAACTTTTATACTTTTTAATTTTAGTAATATTAATATTTACGAAGCTACAGTTATTAATAGAATGTACCATTTAGATTTGAGATTATTTAAAAATCAAATTAATTTTACATTCGACCTTTTAAAAAAAATATATGGTGGCTCAATTCTTAATATAATTGATAATAGATTAGCTAATATTCCAAGGTTTCCAGAACTTAAAAGTTTTAAAAATAGAATTCAATCACTTGTCAGAATTACTGCAAATGAATATCATAATTTTATGAAGGTTATGATATTTGTTCTGGATAATCTGAATATTAGCAAATCTATTCAAAATAAGTTATTAAAGATTTATAAAGATTGGAATAAGATGTATATTTTAAGCCGTTATGAAGAATTTACTGATAATGACTTAAAAGATTTTGATGTATGTATATATTTTGCAACTATGCGAATTAATTTAAAATATTGAAATATTTAATTAAATAATTTTATTAACAAATATTAATATTTTTTTATTTTATTTAGAATTTAATAATAAATTGGGCTCAACAATTTATTGAACTTTTTAAAACTTATTCTGCATCAAAATTAAAGTTTCCCAAATTACATTCATGGATCTATCATACTATAGATTTAATTAAAAAAAAATATGGTTCTTTAAATAGATTTTCTACTGAATATATGAAAGTTTTCATAAAGATTTTGTTAAAGCATCATATTATTTAACAAATAAACAAAATATTAAGGATCAAATAATGAAAATAGTAATAATTGTTATTAATAATATTTATAATATTTTATAAAAGTTAACTAAATTTATTTATATTAAATAGGTTCAAAGACAGGCTGTTGCA